ATATTGTCCCATTTGTTATGGGTGTTAGCAAATATCTAAATTTGCAAAGTTTCTGATCGACATAGCTTTCTTGATATAATTATTTTCACCCCATATTTTTCGTTTTAGCTGTAAAATTTTCGCTTAAGTTGTTTTAGGTTTCATTTTAACGAAATCATTATCTGGCAATCTTATTGTAATCTTTTGCTAATAAACTGTCACAAATGGCATCTCTTTCCGGTTATTTAACGCCTTAATCTCATTGGTCATTCTTTTTTACGTTCCTATTTTAATCTTTTATAGAAGCAAATTTTTTACGTTTGTGTGTGTGTCATTTGCAATATTTCCGTAAATTTTATACAGATAATAATGAATGATTGGAATGTGTCATTCTCGTTGTTACGGAATCCTACACGTTTATTATAAATGCAATATAAGCAAAATTACACAAATGCGATGTGAATGAAAATCCTTATAAAAATTATTTCTATCTTAACATTCAAATTCTAATTTTGCATTTCCCACAAAAATGTATGATTTTGAACAATATAAAATTTTATGTCTTTTTTAAAAAAAATTAGTTGAAATTTTTCATCTTTTTTGATGCAAAATTGAACAATTATTTTTTTCATTATATACTAATTTTATAATAATAGTACGAGAATCAATGCCATATTTGAATATTTATTAAAGTAATCATATTTCCGATAAAATTATTTAATTCTCTCTTTTGCACTTTGCACTTTTTATTGGCGATTATTATTGCTATATTATATTTGATGATATTTGGAGCAAATCAAATAATTTAATTATAATTCGTCAGATTGAAAATTTTTGTGGAATGTAAAACTTAAAAAATTGTTAATTTGCCTTTAGGCAACTTAAATTAAACCACACCTTCTTCCTCTTTTTCTTTTCCGTCTCATTTCAAAAAATCATTAATCAAATCGATCATTGCACATTTTGAATTGGTAGCGTTTATCGTATATGTGTATGCATATCCATAAGCAGTTAATAATTATCATTTCCTATTCGCTAATTTTCTATTAATCAAGAAAATAAAAAAAGAGAAAAAAATTTCTTCCTCTCTCTTTGCCGCAATACTTTTTGCTTCATTTCATTCGACAACTGTTTCGTCAAAATTTTTTCGTCCTTTAATCGCATGAATTATTATGGAATTTTAATCTTTTGTTATTGCAGACATCATTTTTCCAGCGCTTTGAAATTTTGAATATTTTTCTGAGATAACAAAAAAGGACAAAAATGAGAAAGAAAAGAAGGGAAAGATAAAGTAAAAAGGAATAAANGATTCATTTCCCCCGTAAGATTTTTGCTACGGAAACTTATTTAAAATATTTTGGGAATAAAATTTGAGAATGGAATAAAAATAAAATGCTTGAATAACTCCAAAATCTTAATTCCTCCTTTCTAATTCATTAGAGATCGTTAATTGAAATAAAATATATTAAAAATTCGAAATAAAATAATGAAAAATTCGTAGAATAAAGTATGTAAGAAAATTTTTGATTTGTCAAAAATATCTTTTGAGATTTTGAAAAGATGCTATTCAAAGTAAAGCGATATATTTATCGACAAGAAAAATTTAGTTGAAGAATTTATAAACCAATTAAATTCTATTCAACTTTTAAATCTTTTCAATACACTTTTTATTATAGTGTACAGATTAATGCAATTTCTGGAAATGCGGCAACTCTAATAACGATTTAATTTCTGCACTCTAAAATTGCATTTGCGAGTGTTAATCATTCATGAAATATTTAATTAAATTCGATTAATTTCTAGATCGTCGCCGTAAATGTCTCATTAATCGATAGTGCTTCATTTATCGTCAAAAATGTGGAAATTCTAAGAACAATTTTGATTTTTCATTCCAAAATTGTCGTTAAGAATATTGTTCCATCATATTTAATAATTTAAGCGGAGTTTACCGGAATTATTTAAAAAATTTATTGGAAAAAACTCCATATGAAAAATAATACTTATTAAGTCCTGTTAAGAAAATGTACGAAAGTTTTTTTCTTTTGATAACCTCTCATATAAATGCTAAATTTTAGTTTTTAAAATTTTCTAAAATAGATCAGGGTTTCGACTGACAACATTGTAAAAAGTGCCAAATATATTTGTATGAAAACATTTTGATCTGTTTTGATTGCAATTAATCTTGCAGATGAGTGGTATAATAATGGAAACTAATCAAGATTAACTATTTCATTCATTTTAATTTGGTTAAGTGATTATTTCAACCATTAATTTCAATTCCGGATCATACAATCTGCACTAATCAGGAATTTGACTAAATAATTTGTTCATTTCAAATACTATATCAATAATTTGACTAAATAATTTGTTCATTTCAAATACTAAATCAATAATTTGACTAAATAATTTGTTCATTTCAAATACTAAANNNNTAATTTGACTAAATAATTTGTTCATTTCAAATACTAAACCAATTTAACTGATCCATTGGTTTCGCGCATTTCTTTCATATTAGGATCACAATTACAAAGAATAAACATTAAAAAAAATTTCCACTTTTTCAAATTTTAGTCAAACAATTTCTTCAATTTTATTTAAAATTATATTTCATTCATGAATAAATGATGCATACGTGCATATAAGCATAGCACTCATTCATGTGTGAAAAAATATTGTTAATATTTATTGGTAATATTTGAAATTAAAAAAGAAAATGAAAAGAAAGATAAGAGAGAAAAGAAAAAAGAAGATAACTAAAATAGAGGGAAAGAGAGAGAGAGAGAGAGAGATGAAAAGGATGAAAGAAATTTTTCTTTCAATGTAATTTTTATTTTTGACAACTAATCCATTGTGTTTCACTCCTTTTTATTCTTTCCTTTTCTTTTAATTCTTGGTAGAAAGTCTAAAAAACACGATTTTATCATTTGGAAGACAAATATTTGTTTTCCAATGACATTTTTTCTTCTTGCATACACCAAATAAATCCTTTTTATCCATTCATTTTTCTCATTCCAATCATTTCTTCCATTTAATTATTTCAATCTTAACATATCATAAAGTTAGCTTACATTCTTGTTGTTCTTTTAAGCTAAATATATGTTTATATATTTTACACATCAATTTTATTTTTTTCCTTTTTTTGTTAAGAAAATAATTTTTAAAGCATTGCTATCGAAAAAAACAGAAATCTCTAGTCGTTTAAATAAAATTTTATAAAATTAAATTTATTGATCATATTATTGCAGAAGTGAGGGAAAGAGAGAAGGGCGAATAATATCAAGTTGGTTGCTATCATTTGTTTACAGCAATTTGGTAATCATTTCAATGGTTCGAATCGAAATGGACCCGTTGGATGACGGGGAAAATATTCGACACCTGAAATGCGTCTTAGTTGGTGACGCTGCGGTCGGGAAAACATCGCTTATTGTTTCCTACACCACAAATGGTTACCCAAAACAATACATTCCAACAGCATTTGATAATTATTCTGGTTTGTTTCATTATTTTTGTTAAATTTAATTTTGATCTTTTATAATATCAGTATATTTTAGGATCATTATATGCACATTTTGACATAGGAATTTTTTTTTAACATAAATTTTAATTGTATTATCTTAAGATTCTTTTCTCTCTTCTCATTTTGATTTCATTTCTTTATCTAAAAGCAAATCAGAATTGAGGAACATAATTTGATTTCAAATCTACTTATAACAAAAATTGCCTCTCTTGAATTCTTTTTCTCAAAACCGATCTTTTGCTTTTTATCCTTGATAATCGTTACTCTATCCATTTATGATTGTTTGCATTCAATTTCTTTGTCCATTCTCATGTTTTAAGAAAGTAATTAGTCGCGTATTACTAATTTGAAAATTCAACATGATGTTAAATTCAATATTAATTTTTCTTAAAATTCAATATGAAATTAAATCTCAAAATAAATTTTTCAAAAATTTCAAAACTCCACGTATTTAAAAAATATTTCAACTCTTAAATTTATTTTTGCAAAACCTCATTTAAAAAAAAAAGAAGTAAATTCATTGCAGTATTGGTAAGGGTGGATAATCAACCAATACGTCTACAACTTTGTGATACTGCTGGAAAGGTTTGATTTTATTGTTTTTTGACTTATAAAATGTGGTAGTATTATTAAATTTAAGTGAAACCGTAACAGTAATCTCCGAATTCTGCTCATAATGACAATACCATAATCAAGCTAAATCTTCCTCTCTACCACATTATCTTACTGGATACTGTAATTGTGATCACATTTCATATATTATTTATGCATTTAATGGAAATATACATTACTGAAAAACAACTGTAAGAAATATATACAAATGCATTCAATTGATTATAATTCAATCAAAAATTTTGACAGTAATTAATTAATTAATGCTTTACACATCAGCTATGCTAGAAAATACGGACAAACATTGTAATAAAGCAATAAAGCTTAAATTATTATTATTTGAAAATTTTCTATTCAAAATTTACTTTTTAATTCTGCAATGAAAGAAGCAAAATCTTAAATTTTTATTGAATTAACAAATGTTTAGTTATCTCATTAAACTATTTGTTTGCTTCTTTGACCTTTTATTATATTTCTTCAATTCAGTTTATCGTTTGCTTGTTTGACAAGAGCCAATTAATTCTTCATTAATTCCATTGTTCTTTTAACACAGAAGGTAGAAAATTTCTGCTTATCATAGCTTTTTCAATCCGATAATTGGGAAGCTTTCCATATTGTTAGCTTCATTACGACTGCTCCGTTCATTCGATACACAATACTGTCTGTTTATTCGATACACAACACTCACTATTCATCTAATGTGTTTGATTCGCAAAAATTGAAATTTTATAACAAACAAACTCGTAAAAATTTTGATATTATGAAGATTGCTTATCAATGATTTAAATTGTTTCAAATTATTAAGCTAATCTCTTGTCTATTTTTCTTGCTTTGTTATAATAACACTCTTCGTTTGTTGGATGAAGAATGTATGATGTTAAGCTGTGTTAAATGTCACTTAGCTCTCTTTGTATTCAAATGGATTTTAAATAGTGCGCCTTAGTTTGGTTCACGATGTTGTCGGGACAATGTTGACAATATTTCAGCATTGTCAGTACCGTATTATTGACAGTCTTCAGTACTACCAACACAATACCACTCAATGGCATGGTATTTCTGATATTCTCTTATAAAATCCCAGAATAAATCTTCCGTCAATCAATAAAATCTTTATTCCAACCTTATTTTTCTATGCCAAATAAAAATTAACAATAAATTTCATTTCAATAATGGAATGTTTGATTCTTTAATGTTTATCATTTATTAATGGACTCTCATGAAATACATTGAGAATGATGCTGATCTTACATTATTCATAATTAAATTAATTAGCTAAAGTGGTGATTTTAATTTTCTTGAATCTTCATAAAAGTATTGCTAGAACTTACGGTATTATTAAAAATTAAAAAGCTTTTCGATTTTTTTCGACGAATATCACGTAAGTGACACAAATCTTTTCTTCACGTAAGCGATACAAACAATATATTTCAAGAAGCATTTGTTTGATGTATTTTTATTATCATTTTATTGTTTTATCATAGCTTTATGCTCCGAATTACTACCATTCTTTGATACCAATACTATAGCAAAAAAAAGTACTGTTTTAAGAACAATTACCAGCTTATTTCTGCTTCTATGTAGACTTAAATTGTTATTGTCTAATAATTATTGTCTAATAATTTAGAAGAAAATGGTTATCAACCTTAAAGTAGTACTTTCAGGCCGGATTCGATTCTTTGCGACCATTTACCTATCCGGATACAGATGTGTTTCTGTTATGCTTCAATGTCATGCTGCCCAGTACTCTTCGTTCAATTACCGATCACTGGATACCGGAAATCAATAAAACGATGCCTAATGCACCTGGTTAATTACTCGAAATCTTATGCACCAAAAAAACATATATGAAACAATTGATATAGCGAAATATTTGAATAATTAAAAATGAAAAGAAATAATTACATATAATTATAGAATTACATGCTATATAACATTCTACCCATTGATTTAAATCAAAAAATTTAAAAATAATAATAATAATAATTCTTGTCATGCGACTAAAATTATTAACCAATAAATGGCAGAAGTAATAAATTCATGAATTATTATGTTAAAACTAAATAATCTATTCAAAATAAATAGTTCAGAAATTTATAACTCTGAATATCAAAAAAGTGAAGTTATTTTGTTGCATATTTCAGTAATCCTCGTTGGTACTCAGTCAGATTTGAGAGCAAATGTCAGTTTGGTGATTGATTTATGCAAAAATGGTGAACAACCGGTTAGTGAATCAAAAGCGCGAATGTTAAGCGAAGATTTATGTACCGATTATTTGGAGTGTTCCGCCCTAACACAACAAAACCTTAAAGAAGTTTTCGACGCAGCGATATTGACAGCATTACGCAGTAAATCATCCAATACTACCACTTCGTATGCTACGAAAATTACCAATATGATACGTTTAACACGTGAACCACGCGGTATTTTCTCCAATGGTAATAATAGTAATGAAAAAGACGAGAAAAAATCAAGCCGAATTAGGCAAGGCTTCAAAAGGTTTGTTACGTTAACAAAAAGGCTTCTCTAAATTGTCGTCATTTTATTCAACCTTGTGAACTGTTTTTGGTTATTTTTTTAATCTTTTTTATTTGCAAGAAATTGAAAGCAGCAAAGGAAAAAGCAAATGAAATTGAAAATTGTAATTTCGATATTTTGTTCATACAGATCTTTCCTTATTACATTTTCGCTGGAAGTAATTCGTGTTAATTACAATTTATAATATATTAAGGATAAAACACAAAACATTTAGCGTGTTTTTGTTAGTGACTAATCATCGTTATTTGTTTTGAAATGAAAAAAATAAAAAAGGACAAAATTTATTTTTGTTAAATACGTTTTTGTTCTTGTTTTGTTTTTTTTTTGGAGGGAAAAGTTAAAATAACGTAAAAATTTGTTTAGCCATATGTAAATACCGAGAGGAAATGCTAATATTTATGCTATAATGTTACAATATTTAAACGCTTTATTTATTCATAAAAGTGAAGACTAAGGTTTGAATTTTGCATTTAACCATCAAACTTTTAAAAAAAGCCGAAATACCCTTTATTTTATCAAATCATTCTATTGATGACTCGAAATTTCGTATTTATTTGAATTTTTGAAATTTTTAAACAAAAATATCTCATTTTCTTAGTCAATTATCCAATTATATACATATATATATATATGTGTAATATTTTTTAACCGTTAAGTCGTTTCATTTATTCATATATTGTTTCTTTTACAGATAATTAGGAAATAATTTGATTATTTTATGAGTTAGTTGAATTTCACTGTATCACTTTGCATTTTGTTTGCTCATTATCGTGCTGTAATGCAAGAAAATCAAAAAAAGTCTTTTATTTTTTATGCTTTATATTTTATACCCATAAACGATATTTGATGGTGCAATCTATGTTTTATGATTATGTTTTCAATATATTTCATATGTCATTCCAAAAAATTTTTCCTTGTGCACAAACAATTTACTTCTTAATTAACCATCAGAAGTGATTACATACCTTGCAGAGATCGGTGTTATCAAAATTGAATGATATCAACAAACTTTACTCATTATAAACCATTTTCCTAATGGACTGTCGTATGCTATTTATAAATTAATATTTTAGTACTTACTTTTACGTATAATATAACGTCAAACAAATTTGCATGGTTTATAACCAAATTTATCTTTTTTTTTATTTTTCGAATTTAATTTTATGTCACGAAAATAAGTGTCGATTAAAACTAAATAATCGGAAATTTAATCACACTGTATAGGGAAATATATATGGACAATTTGATAGTAACTGCTTGAATTAAAAACAAAATTATCTATTTTATATGAAAAACTGGTTAATAATTTAAGCGCTGTGAATGATGCCAATTGAAATTGATTGGCACATAGGTAACTTTGGATTTTGTTTTCCCCCAAAGATTTCGCATGAATTTCAGTCGCAAGAATTGACGGAGATTACATTTTTAAATATGTCCATTTTACTCTTATACTGATTTTTTAATTGATAATAAGTTTTACTATTTTATGAATTAATGATCA